CCCTCCCCAAACCCTGCACCACTCAGACTCCAGCCCAAAATCTCCAGGAATTTCCTAACCTGGAGATGGCAACACTGGTCAGGTCTGGCCCCAAGGAGCCTTCCCTCAATGGCCAAAATAGGCCTGGAAAGTACTCCACATCCTCCCCATTGCTTTTACTGTCTGAAGAATGTAGGGTTGCCAAGTCACTTACCACTAATAGCGGAGGAGAGTTGGTCCCTGTCCGGGACATTTGCGCGTGCACATGCTTTGCACACACGCTGCAATGATATCACCCGGAAGTGATGTCATCACGTTGGGCACATCGATGGCTGATGCTCTAGCAATCAACCTGGAAACTCTATGGTACCATAGAGTTTTCGGGCTGATTGCTGGAGCGTCAGCTGGCAACGTGCCCAGTGTGATGATGTCACCTCCATGTGACATCATTGTCCTGGGCACGTTGGCCCGAACCAGACACTTTGGGGGTGGGGTTCCCCCCGCCGGCCTTTTCCTGACCGGTGGATTGGAGACCCATTTAGCAGGGGAACCTCCGCCCCCCCCCCCGGGGACCTGGCAGCCCTAGAAGCATGCCTTAGAATGCTGTGGTTGCCTAGCAACAGCCACTGAGGGAATCCATTGCTTAAAGTTGCAGGCACTCCTTTTATCATGTTCAGATTTTTTAAATCTGCCTAGTGCATTTTTTTTTTTAATTACACATTTTTCTGCAAACTTGGGCCCTTTGGGGGTTTGTAGAAAGATCTGTCTTGCCCGTTCACTGCTCCAGTCATCAGATTTAAGTATCCCAAGATACCCTGACTTGGCTATTCGAATATAAAATTCTAAATGGACTCGATCTCTGTGAACAATTATTCTCCTTCAGAATGATCATTGGTGTATTTCAACCACTGGCCAATGGTGATATATATTCAAACAGGTCGAGGTATCATTGCTTGTAGTTTTCTCAGTGGAACAGCAAGGCAATTTTAGACTCTGGACTTAATGGTTTTATGTGCTCCAGAATGTCTGTCAAAAACACAGTCCTCTAATGAATTGTAGGAAACTGCTGAGCTGGGCAGGACAATAACATAAAGGTTTTGGATTACAGATTAGCTCAGTCTTCTTGTTTTGGGTTAACAGGTGTCATGTTTAAGTATGTGCTGGTGGAAAGCATTTGCTGCTAAGTCTGTTGAGGGCAGAAGGTCACAGAATCCCAGCTAAAGGACTACCAGGGATGAGAGGAGGTACCCTCAAGTAGATGAACTCTGTAATCCAGTGCTCAGTATACATTTTTCCAGCGATACACAGGAGATACTTCCTGAGCAGCTGTGACCTTTTTCAAGCCTAGAGGTTTTCATTTGGAAGGTCTGTAAAATTCCAAAGCTAGTCCAGACTGCAAGAGAGGTTTGCTGGGCAGAAGAAAACAACAGCTTTTCAGAAAAGGGAAATGTTATATACAAACTATGGGCTATTCAGACAGTGAAAGTGACTCTTCTGAGAGAGAGTGCTATTTGTCTGGAAGTAGTGATGAAGATTATGGACTTGAAGCTGGAAAAAACTCAGAGTTAGTGCTCATGAACTATATTTTAATAAGGATTTTGTGCTGGAGCTTTTTGGTTTGGGCACTGCAATTACCTAGAGTGTTGCATTATAGTGAACATTTGGCTTAGACTAATACACAAGGTTTATTAACTTGTTGCATGTTTGAAATTAATGTCGTTTCTGAAATCATAACCTTTCATTTTTTTATCAAGTTGCATTAACCTAATGATGTATTATGGAACAAAATAAAACCCCACACCTTGAACAGAAGATAGTGATATCTAATAGTGAACTGCAAATAGTATCCTTGGGTTAATATTCTTAAACTGCAGTGTAGGAATATTAAAGTTCTTTTTCTTTCACTAGCCAGAATTTGAAGCTTAAATTCTAAACTAAATGCTATTGCATAGTAGTTTTAGTTGTGCATTTGACCTTTTAGAAACAGTAAGGAACATCCCCCCTCATATTGTAACATGTTTTTAAAAAGAAAACAAATGTAAATTCCGTGTTTTGCTATCCTGCTTCAGCACAGCAAAATCAGTGTTGTCTAGGCAGCATATATATTGTGTCACTAACATGGATAACTAAAAGGCCGTATTAGAAGTTCACATGCAATGCTGCAAATGAACATAATGCTCTGCAGTTAGCCACTCTCTTGCACCAAAATGTTATTAATATACTGTCTGGTTTCTTTTCTTTTCTTTTTTTTTGCATTGTCTGCTCAGTGCTGATATAATGGCTACACAACTGATGCTGATTTATAATGACAGGCATTAATTTGCGTACTTGGGCATCAAGTGAAATTAGTATTTTTATCAGAAAGAGAGCAGAATCCCATTTGTTTGCACACTTTCTCTTTAGAAAGTGACATGACACACGGTTCCCATTGTTTGGGATAATTATGGCATCAGATCGAGACAACGATTTTACCGGGGATTAACTTTCCTTGTGTCACTTAGCATGCAACCTAATATTACATGCATCCTGTTGAACTATGACTAATTGACTTTATTACTTCATATTCAGCTAATTTAATAAATAATTAGGACCTATATATTTACAAAATGCTCTTTGAAATTACATTGGTTTATCATTGCACATAATTGTACTGTACATAATTGTAGCTTTATAAAGGGTCTGTCCTTTTTAAGCTGCTTCCAGCAGCAGGTGGTGTGGGAGCAGGTAGGAATGGTGTCCACACACCCCTATTCCCTCACTGCTGCCACCCCCAACTCTTGCTCCTCCTCTTATCCTCCATGCACCTGGGCAAAAATCACAGAAATTATGCCATCATCCCTGTGCCCCCAGAACCCCCATTTCCCTGCTAGGCCAAACTGTAGTAGTTCAGCAGAGAAGTGGGAAAAGCCCTTGAAAGGGCTAAAGTAGGGGGAATGGTGTGCAACAGTGGGCTGCCCCATGCCATTTTGAATTTGGAGCTTAGCTGTGCCCCCTTCAGGGGCCGCTATGGTTGGAGTGTCCACCCTTAGCCACCCCACAGTTCCCCCATAAACTGGAGTAAAAACAGGTGACTTTCCCCTCTGGTTTAAAGGGGAAAGCCCCAGGAATGTCAGGAGTTCTACCTAGCACAACATCATGTGGATGTTCTTTAATCCAGGAGCTTCCTGCATTCCACGCAGGGAAAATCATTGCATGAACGCAGCCTGTTTATCACAAGAATTCTTTCACACATGTGAGTTTAGGACCTAAGCTATACATTGTCTGTTGTCTTGCACTGAGCAGTACAGAATGCTTGATGTAAGAGTGCAGGTGGTTCCTTTTGCTTGTGCAGAGTCTTCACCCCTGGCTCACTGAAGGAGAAGGAACCTGCAGTCCCGTACTGGTGGTCTCCTGAGTTTTCTCAGAATTACAGCAGCCTCCTGTGAATTGTTAAGAGATTTTCCCCCCCGTTTATCCAGAGATTCCAACTGCAATATATTATTCATTATGCTTTGATATTTTGTAGCGAGAAACTTCATTTATAACCCTCTGCACACTGCTTTAAAAATGTTTCCATACTGTATCAAAACAGATACGGTATTGATTTTAAAATAAGTCTGTATTTCTTCAGAGACCTTTTAACTAGCTCAGTTCCTTTAAGATGACTGTATTCGGTCTCCATTCTCCAGTTTTGTACTGGAGGAATAATCAGAAACCTTCAGAGGTCCAGTGAACATTTGTAAGAAAAGCTCCGGAAGATTAAAAGGGGTTAGGACATTATCTTTTAAGGAAGAGGACTGATGAAATGGGGAACAAAATGTATGGTCATATCTGTCTCTATGCTTGTACCTTCAGATATCAATGAGACTTGCTGAGATAACCAGCTGTGATATCTTTTACTTTTCTTTGTGGGAAGTTTATCCAGGTTTATAAATTCCAGTTCAAAAGTGCTGTTGTAAGCAGATACACCCTTCTAAAAGCATTGACTTCAATGTCAATCACTCCTTTACAGCTGTCCATCAGCAAACTGTGTCCAAACAATGTGATGATTTTTATCTGTAGGATCATGTGACTCCTTAAGCCAGCTAGTAGGTTGGCATTTCTTAGGTGTGGGTGTATCATTAGAGAAAATTTGCAAATTGGATTTCAAGCAGAATTTGATTGATGTTATTTATTTATTTATTTATTCGATTTACTATCCCGCCATACTATGTTAGTATGGAGTTCTACATATAATATAACTCTATACATTTTGAAAAACAAAAGGTAGATCTCTGGTTATTTCATGATTCATACTTCTCAAATCTGAGAGCAATACTTTCAGAATAACAGTAGCGGGGGGGGAAAGGCAGAGAAAACCCATGTTTGTATCCCATTTGTCACTTTTACCTCCACAGTCTGTTTTACCCAGCTGTACATTGGGCGGGAAACACTTTGGGGGTAAGGAATTAAGGGCAAAAGCTATGGGTGAGGAGGTAGTTTAGAGAACAATAGTTGCATGTACGTACATGACACTTTAAAACATGTCCCCATTTCAACCCTGAACAGAGCAGAGCTCCGCCTCAGTATACAGGCTTGCTGTCTTCACATAGTCCACAGCCTTCCTACCAACCTGATTGTTACCTGCAAGTGTTCATTTTGAAATGGCATGGAAATTATGTTACTGGCACTCAGCTAAGTATTCATGTTTCTGATGTAGCCGGGAGTGCTAAATAAGTTGCCTGCTTCTGCCAAGTTGAATCACAAAATAACACACACCAATAATCAGGAAAAATTAATTTTTTTGGGGGGGGGATCTAAATGACTGAGCAGCTTAGTTGTTGAGAAAACAACTTTGTATGTAAATGCTGTTTTGTGAACGTTTCTGCAGGGCCGCGGGATAAAAAAAACCCCTTCACATTATTGTCTGTTCTAAAATGTAATAAATTGCTAAAAGATCATTCTCATTTGCAAGGTGCGTCAGTACTCTAAGTGTTTTTACAGCACTGTTCGAGACAATTAGTGGAATGTTCTGTCTAAAATATATGTTATTGTCCTTTCAGGGAAGATGTCAGGACAGCCAATGTGATTGCTGCTGAAGCTGTAACGTGTCTTGTCATCGACAGAGAGTAAGTATACCATTTTTTATCATATGATACAAATAGTCTGATACTGATGTTCAGTTATCCATTAGGAACTGACATTGTTTAACCTTCTTAAACTTGTATTGGGGTCAGATGGTCCTCAATTAAGTCATTGTTTAAAAGTGAGGTGTATTTTTTAATGGCTCTGTGAAATACTTTTTTGGGGGGAGGTCTGAACTGAGCGAAACCTTCACTTTGCATTTTTAAAAGTTTTTTTCTCTCTGGGCAGAGGACAGGCAGGAGAGGGGAAGACAGTTCAATTGTTTTCCAGCCTCAAGCCTCAGTCACTCTTTTTTAGAAATGCTTATTGGTCTAGCAAGAGACAATGGGATGGTCAAGCTCTTCCCTCCCCCAGCAGGGAACAGAGATTTGGAAGTAGTAAATCCTAGAAGAACTTCAGGAAGAAACTTCTGGAGACTTCAGGAAAAGCTTCTTTGACTCAGCCTGATCTGGTCAGTGGGTGGGGAAAAGACAGGTGACAAAAGTCCTGGGAGCAAGAAGGAAGGTCTTTTTTTGGTGCTGATTCCATCAAAGCAGACATAACTCTTAACTGAGGTCTGGACGAGGTAGCCATTGCCATGTGCTGGACTTGCACACCTGAAGGAGTCTTCAAGATAATGGAACTCTGTTGAATATCTGGTAACTTTCTAAGCTAAGGAGCCTGCCTTACATTTAACATCTGATAGGGCATGTATAGAGGAACGGATAGCGTAATTGCATTTTACCCTTTTCTTTTGAATCCCTTGCTTAGTCTGGTGCTTTTCTAAAGAGTATGCTTGTAAACATTTTCTTTTTAATAAATATGGTATAACTTTTAGGAGCTGCGGTGGCTCAAGTGGTTAAGACACTGAACTGCAGGCTGTGGAAGGTCAGTAGTTCAGCAGTTCCAGACCTGGGTGCCGCAAGACAGAGTGAGCTCCCGTCTCTAGTTCCAGCTCCTGCCAACCTAGCAGTTCGAAAGCAAGAAATTGCAAGTAGATAAATAGGTACCACTTCGGTGGGAAGGTAACAGCGTTCCGTGCGCCTTGGTGTTTAGTCATGCTGGCCACATGACCACGGAAACGTCTTCAAACAGTGCTGGCTCTTCGGCTTTGAAATGGAGATGAGCACCGCAACCCTAGAGTCGGATTTGACTGGCTTTCGAGCAAGGGAACCTTTACCTTTACCTTTATAACTTTTAATCCTGGTAATGGTTCTCTGTACCACATAGACCTCTACCATCTTGGACACGCTAATTTAAAAGGAGAGCCAGGAAAAAGGAGAGGGAAGTCAGTTGGCAAGTGGCTGCTCCCCTGGTGGTACACAAGGCAGCAAGCTGTCCCTGTGGTAACCAGACTCTGGGCAGCAGGAGACAGAGAAGCACAGCCTGACAACTTAAAAGGGAAGCTGAAGAGAGTTCTGAACCTCCCAGTGAACAATTCCTACAAAGGTTAGGTGGTAGCAGCAGTTGAACAGAAAGAGAGAGAGAAGCCCTTCCGGGTGTTGAGAAAACCCAGGAGGGCAGGGTGAAACAGGGCCAGCAGGCCAAAGTAGGAATGTTCTGCCACAGACTCCAGTTTATGTCAAGATTGTGGTTATAGTACAGAGATACAACTGTAGCATCTAGGATATGAAATTATCCCCAATGCTAATTCGATTTGCGATCTCACACTCTTGATACATTATTTTCCTTCCATTCCAAAGCCCCTAGAGGTATGAATATCTCCATAGCATTTCTAAACAGCTACCACCTTTTTATATCAAGTGTCAGGTCAACACTGTGATGTAGGCATGGGTACCAGAGTAAGCCTACAAGGGCTAGTTTTTTTCTCCTCACAAGACCGGTATGGAAGGGCCTCGTTTTTGTCTTGTAATAGTGCTGAAGCTGCGGCCTCTGACTGTATGCTGGGGATACACATTAGTAAGTGTCCTCTCCTAGCTGGAAGTAAGGGCAGGGCTGAAAGGTGTACTGAAATCTGGGTAGGTAAGGGTAAACCCTACCCTGCCTGGATGGCCCAGACTAGCTTGATCTTGTCAGATCTCAGAAGCTAAGAAGGATTAACCCTAGTCAGTATTTGGATGGAAGACCAACCAAGGAAGTCCAGGATTGCTACATGGAGATAAGCAATGTGCCCCAACCTGGGGCTGGGACTTCCTGCCACCCCACCATGGCGTGAAACAGGCCACCCCAATCCTGGGCACAGCGCAAAAGGCCGGGCACAAACCCCACCATACCCCGTGCCAACAAGGGGCAGCTCGCCTCATCAGGTCCCAGAGTCGGTGGCCTGAGTATGGGCATAGGCTGAACACCTGGGGAGCCCAAGGTGAGAGCCAGGCCAGGCCACGGGGAAGAATGCAATGGGGAGGGTGCAACCACGAGAGAGGACAGCTCAGGAAAAGAGGCACCACCGAAGTGAGAGGCAGGAGCCCTACCAGAGAACCAGGCTGGGGAAGTGACGATCTGGGAAGAGCTGACATCGATGAGAAAGCTGCCTGGCTCAGATGCAGAGCAGAGTAGGGGTGTGTCCGATGGAGGGGGGCGGGAAAGGAAGGAAAAGAGGGTGGCAGAGGCAGCCTATGGGATGAAGGGAGAGGTGATTGACAGGGAGAGGGACCACGGGGGAGGAGACAGAGGGGAGCGAGGGAAATAAAAGGAAGTCAGGACGCTGAGGCTGGGGAGGAAAATGGAGGCGAGCTAGATGGGAGGAGTGAGCAAGAGAGAGGGGGCAATTGAAACACTGCCGAGCCACTGACACTGGAGTGCTGATGGTGGTGGCATAACCCCGCAGCCCCAAATTCTGAGGCCTCCAGCGATCCCCAAGGGTGAGTCCCACCACAGTGGAGGGTGGGGTTCATTGGAGGGGTCACATGGGGCGTGACACAATGGCAAACCACCTCTGTTCATCTATTGCCTTGAAAACCCTATGGGGTTGCCATAAGTTGGCTGTGACTTGAGGGCACTTTCCTCCACCAAGAGTAACCCCTATACACCACAGTGAATACTAGATGCATGAAACATTTATTGTGAGATTTCATTGTGTTGGCGTCATCTGCATCCCAGCACACTGTATGTACTGTGTTTCCTTCTGCTCTTATAACTGGCTTGAATCATGGTTTAAAAACACACACAAAAGGATGAGGCTTAAGCACTAAAGAGCAATTGACTCTATTACAGTGGAAGAATACAGGGAGTATAAAGTAGGCACCAGTTAGGGAGAAATGTGATTAGGTATTTTGAATGTCATTCTGAGTTTAATCATGATCCTAAATTTGGGAGGTTGAACAGTTACAAACAGTTGTCAACAAAATTTTTTACAATGTATTATGGAATGGTAAGAAAGTCCCAGTTCCAAGGAAATATGTAGTCCATTTTAAATTTATGACCCAGTGAAATTTCACTGGGGTTATGTCCAATAGAAGCAGATGGGGGACGTTAAGAATGTCAGCTAAGTCACTTCTGTGACACATTTGCAAGAAAGGTTCCATGTTACATAAAACAACCATTGTGCTGTACCAATCCATAGGGGAAGATGGAAATTAATGAACCCAATTAGATACTTTCAGCAGATATTCATTGAGGAAAACCCGCTAAATGATTACTCATATTTTATTTGAACGATCCTGTACAAACATTTTCTCATTGGAGCTTAATCATAATTAAAATAAATAGGTGGAATCAATCCAAAAATTACCCTTTAATCATCAAGTAATTATTTATGATTTTTGTGGCAACGGCCTAATTATTATTTTTTTTGCTGCCGACGGTGCCCTTGAAAGTAGCAAGAGGTGCCAATAGAACTCTGAAGACTTGCAGCTAATCCACAGCATACCAGAAAATTTCAGTAGCGTTGTGCAGCTGAGTGTGACTGGGTTTATGCTGTTTATAGCCGAAAATGTACTTTGTTGCATTGTGAACCTGGAGAATCTGATTTTCTTGGTTTCCGGTTTATGACGGTGCGCTGAGCAGACGCACCTCCTGGACCTCCCGGGGGTGAAGCTGCGCTCTGGCCGAAGGAGGGGGTGCGCAGGATCATCGCCCCCCCAGAGACCTGGCTGAAGGGGCTCTGGCCATGGGACTCTCGAGGGGTTGCCTCTTCGCCGGTGCGATGCCAGGGAATTAAGGTGCCTCTCCGTCCCGAAGGTTCTTCGTCCTTTGAGACCGAATGGAACCAAGCGATGCTGACCGGGGCAAGCGCAGGAGGTCAAGCGAAAGAAACGGAGCTTAAACGAGGTCTGAGGACCAACTATGAATGTGAGTTCAATCTAAGTGTTTAAATAAAAGGAAAAGAAAGCTCCCCAAACCCCCCACGGAACAGAAAGTGAGGCGAACGGGGGAGGGACGCCTCCTAAATGCACGTACTTAAAAGCGAATTGGAGGAGGGGAGCAGAAGAAAAAGCAAATAAAACTGTTAAGAAAGACTTATCAAGGTGAGTTTGAGCGTACAACCCCATATTCAGAGACTTTTAAAATATCGGTTAAAGTAAACAATCCACAAAGATGGCGGGAAGAGGACGGAGAAAGAGAAACTTTTAAAAGCGAAAGGGACTGAGAGTCCAAGACCGGAAGCAACCAGCAAGCTGGCAAAGACATTGGCGGAATCCATGCGCCTTCTGCTCAACCAGATGAATAATCTCAAGCAGCTGCTGTCAACAATGAATCAATGTGTCACCACCCAGCAAGCACAGTTGAGTGAGACACTTAAAATGATGAATCAAACAGGTGAGAAGGTGAAAGAAGTGGACACCACTGCACAGAAGGTGAAGAAGAAAGTACAAAAGCTGGAAAAGAAGCAAATCTCCACGGAAGATCAGCTGTTACAACTGCAAATGGAAAAAGCTAATTTGATTCTTCGCTTTCAGGGCCTTCCAGAGCCTAAAGGAGAGAATCTGAAGGAGAAGATGAGTGAATTATGGGCCCCAATGACAGAGATCTTTGCTGAGCAATATGGATGTGGCCTATAGGTCATATTCGGGATATATAAAGAAAAACAATCTTCCTGGGGAAA